GATTACCTTTATTTTGAGTATGGCCTCGGTATGTGTGGAACCAAGCGCACGGTGAGTCTCAGGCAAGAAAGGACCCCAGAGAATTAAAAGCGGAATAATGCTGATTCTGATTTTTTGTTCTTGTCCGAGATGAATAACCAGTAAAAAGACCGCTTTGTTTTGCGTCTTTAGTGGGTTACAGTGGACACAGAACTGTTACACCAATGACGACATCTAAAACGGTGAACATGTCATTTATATGCCAGGCTTTGCTCCAGTAGGTTAAACTGGGCCTGGTACTAGTTATTTCTTGGACTCACTAGAGTAGCTTTACTTGATTTGTTTAATTTGACCGATTACCGGGCCTACAGCCCCAAGTTCACCCTCTGTCTGGAGCAAGATGTCTCACCTCACTTTAAAAAAGCTTGCTTCTGATTGGTTCCCCCTGGCAAATGTAGGCTTGATCAGGAGGCGATTGGGTTTCTGTACTCACTGCCAGAGGAACTAACTTTATGACGTCACACAGAGCCAAGAGTCGGGGGGGGGGGGAGAAACTGTTAAACTGGACCTTTGGCTCACAGGGATTGCTGTTATGAAAAAGAAAAATTATAGATGAGCTTTAAATATGTGCATCTTTGGAGTTGCATACAGAAGCATCCATTATACTATTTCAACAATATCTGACTTTTGCTTGGCACAGCACGGGCAGGGTAAAATTATTATTTTTAGTTCAGAGCTGGAATTTTGTGCTGCTGTTTAAGCGTATTCATCTTTAATAAGATCACAAAAATGGGGAAAAATACTGGAAGAGATTGTGTTTTTTTTTTGTTTTTTTTTTTTTCCCCTTCTCACCGTCTCTTCTCCAGATTGTGTTTTTTTTTTTTTTTTTTTTTTTTTTTTTTTTTTGTTACCAGAACCATGCAGAACAGAATCTGCCAAAAATCCAACTTAAACAAGTGACTTATTAATCAATAAATCTGCCTTTAAATAAAACACAAAATGCTAAATATGTAGCAGGAGTAGATGCGCAAAACAAGTCACAATGAATGCAAATTTATTAACAGAACATAAGGACACAAATATTTACTGAGAGCTGGAGGACAAGTCTTTGCCCCCCTGTTCCTAGCTTCAATGACCGGTCTGTATATGCACTTATTTCTGTCACACAAATTAATCAAAGTATTGCACTATTCATCTGATTGCATTGAGAAATCTTCTGTGCTGGAAAGATGTGGACATATTTATATATTTATACCCTCGTTTGTCCACTAGGGGGCTCTGTAGTAGGACACCAGTCAGATAAACTTTTGAGTGTTTGGAGTTTTGGTCAGGTGACACAAAACACCCGATGACGTCAGCATTACTGTAAGATTTTATATTCCTATTGAACAAATAAGAAAATAATAGATATATTTCAATAAAAGTAGTTTAAATGCATGTTTCCATAACTTTTTCATGTACTGCAGTAATTTATATTTGAATTTTAGGTTTTTGACTAAATCTTCAGCCATAAGATTAGGATTACATGTTGAGTAAGATTATGTGCACATGCACCTGCTGTGATTCACTGTTGGCATTCAGCTCACTGCTGAGCCATAAAAGCCTGTCTCATAACTGTAGACGAAGTTTTATTTAAATGTTAATATAAAAATTCTGGTTGCAGATCATTGATAACCAGGTTGTCTATTCAAACACACTTCGTTACGACCCACCGAGACCAATCAGGCGAGTGGTGCCCTTCAACCTACCCGTGTCATGTTATTTTAACAGGTGAGCTTAAAAGATTAAATTGAGGACAGACAAACTTATTCATAACACACAGACTGTTTATTAATGCTGTTTTTCCATTTTTCTTTTAATGCTAACAACCTTTTAGGTACCAATACACCTACAAAATTGGCTACATACCAAAGGTGCCCATACGCAGGCTCTTCAAACGAGTAAAGAATGGAGCTAAATTCAGTCTGACGCCACGAAACGGTAAACCTACAGAAATGTGTGCAGTTATTAAACCCCGGTGGATTTCGGAGGTTCTTGGTGGTCTTTGTTTATCAAATTAAATAAATTTTTGATAAACATTTTTCATTATCATTCAGAAGCAAGACCTTGATGTTAATGTGACAAATGCAAAGTTTGCAACTCTGTGCAGGTGCTAGAAACAGATTAATGTCAAAATCACTCGTGTGGTTTTGCTGAGTCACAGTATCCTAGTACACTCCTCCACACTAATCATGAGTCTTTGGATCCAGGAGGACATTTATATCTGGAATAATGATGTATTTTATTTAGATTACCAAACATTTAATTATTTCAATTTGATGTGTTTATGAAGAGCACAAGTTAAATGTCCAGTTTTGTTGTATTTCATAAAGATAAAAAATCCTCCCTATAGTGATTGAATCTGAATAGAAACATTCATTTCTTAAGTTGGTGCCACATTTCATCCAGATGTGTTCATAACTATTTGAGTCATGCTGCTAACAAACAAACTGTTTGGTGGAGCCATGGTGACGTCACCCTCATAAATATGTTGATGCTTTATGAGCTAAGATATCCAGGGAACACAAGGTTTTAATCATGTAGCAAGCTGAGTTCAGAGATTCATTCTTTGCTACTAATATTTTGGCACCATGTGTACTCCTAATTGACACTCCAAGGATTTTGCAGATTGTCTGGAAAATACTTTGTCCAGTAGATATTCCGTCGATATTCAGGTGAATTTTTGCAGTTTGAGCACTTTGCAAAACTGCTTTCACACAGCTGCTATCAAAATGGTTTGTTTTTAAAGTGTGAGTGAGCTTTGCAGCTGCTTTTCCTGTCACTTTACTGCTAATTTACTGTCCTACTTTCCTTTTAGCGAAGTGGGAAAGGCTGTCCCCATCAGGTCAGTACGTGCTCGGAAAGCCCATGTACTTTCAGGCCGAGGCCCTGCCCATGTCCCACGATGAAAGACTGTACATCCACTCGTGTTATGCCACTCCAGAGAAGTCCCACACATTCACGCTTAGATTCCCTGTTGTGAGAAACTTTGGGTAATGAATGTCACACGTCAAAAAAGCTGAAGCATTATTAAAAAAAATCATGCCATGGCCAGCTGTTTTCTCTTTCTGATAAAGATGTATGGTTGAAAGCAAAGGCGGGCGCTCCAGGTTCATCCCGTACAGAAACGATGCTGTGAGGTTCTCTGTGGATGCGTTCCTGTTCAAGGGAATGATGGGCCAGGTCAGCCGAAGTGTCACCAGACTAATGTGCTTCATATATTGTTGTCCTTTATTTTATCCCAAGTTCTTTGCCGTAAATCAGTGATGGCTTGCATGTGTACTGAGAAGTAAGTAGATCTCGACATGTGCCTTTACCCGCTTGAATAAAAAATTTGAGTAAAGCTGATATTTAATATATTATATTTAAAACAAGCAAAGAGCTTCTTTATGCAGGCGCATTGTTATAATTACTCCACATCTTTCACTGTTAATCATTTGCTTCATGCAAATTAATTGTTTGCTAAGCCTGTGCATGTGTAACTGTAAAAATTCAGTGGTTTTGGATGGCTGACCCCTTTTTAAATTAAATTGGGTTAGATTTGGCCCCCATATTTTATTTATTTATTTATTTATTTATTGGGATTATCTGGGAGTCAGTGTGGTTTGACTGAATAAAGCAATTAAAAACTAATAGAGTAAACTTGCTTTTTCTGTATCTGCTGCAGCAGCTGTACATGCACTGCATCATGTCTGTGGGCAGTTCGGTGCCTACACCCACAGCCAAGTCCTGCAACTACGACACAAAGGCCAGAAGGTTAGATTTCCCCTGAAGCTCTTCTTAAAAACGCTGTGATATGATGATATTGAAAGCGTCTGTTGTCTTTGCTGCTTTGTGCAGATGGGCTGAGCTGTATGGATCAGACACAGTGTGCAGCTGCTGTGACTCCAACTGTAGCTCTGCTGCATCCAATGGTGAATCATCACTTAAACTTTTTATTTTTTTTATTTTTTTATTTTTTTTAAACAAAGAATTGTTTGCTTCAATTCCTCCATCAGGCCGGGGTCTTTCTGTGTGGAGTTTGCATGTTCTCCCCGTGTTTGCGTGGGTTCTCTCCGGGTACTCGGGCTTCCTCCCACTGTCCAAAGACATGCAGCTTGTGGGGATAGGTTAATTGGATAATCCAAATTGCCACTAGGTGTGAATGTGAGTGTGAATGGTTGTCTGTCCCTGTGTGTTAGCCCTGCGACAGACTGGCGACCTGTCCAGGGTGTACCCCGCCTTTCGCCCTATGACAGCTGGGATAGGCTCCAGCGGCCCTGAAAAGGATAAGCGGAAGCGGATGGATGGATGGAGAATTGTTTGCTTTCTGCTGGAATTAAATGATTGAATATTAAAACATTTTCATCTTTTCCAGAGACTCAAATAATCAGCAGTCGGCCGTGGACCATAGAACCTAAAGCGAAAGCCATCGGCTCCCTGAAGAGGAACACGATCTCCACCAAAACAACAGCGGCACCGGAGTCAGTCATGACTGAGTGGAGGTGGACGTCACAGCCGGTGGTGACAGCAGCGCTTCCGATGGATAAGGTGGAGAAAACGGTGAAGGATTTGGATTGGCCGTTTGGAGGTGGTGGAGTGATGTGGACTGAGGAGGAAGGTGAGAAGAAGCAGGGGAAGGGCTCTGCTTCTGTGGAGGAGGTGATCGCAGAACCCCGCCGGATATTTGAAGAAATATTTGATTTTGACAAATAAAGCTGGAGTTTGATCAGCGACGAGCTTCCTCCGGGTCTCTAATTTCAAACCAAATTAATTCCACTTATAATTTTGCAAAAATGTTTTCTGTGGTAAACAAGTTTGAGAAAGTTGTTGTTGATCCTCAGCAAATTGATTACCTTTATTTGATTTGCATCACTAAATCTATAAACAATGACATAAATAAAGATTATTGGAAATTCAATCTCATACTTACTGAGCGATGGGTGAGAAAGTGGACACCCCCATAGGTTGTATAGAAAATAAACTTCATTGTGAAGCTCCAGGTCTGCCATCTTGTCGTTTGTGAGGACCAGATGTGAGAACCAGATGTGTAGGTCAAAGCATGTCAGTGTGAATTTAATGTGCAGTGACTCAGTTTAGACATTTCTGTATTATCAATAATTATTTGGACTTCAATCACAGAGAGAAAGAAATGCAGGACTCACACGGGATCGTCTCTTCAACAGTAAGAGAAGATATGAATGCAACTAATTTCAATTCAATGAGCATTTTATGTCATCATTTCCATTTCTGTAAAAATTCAGGCGCTGGTAGTGAAGTGTTATTTTTCACCATGTTGTCGTGCATAAGACGGCACGGCGAGAACTCGTGGGGCAGAGTGGTGCAGTGGTCAGCGCTGTCGCCTCGCATCAAGAAGCTTGTTGGTTTGAATCGAGCAGCCAGCTGCGCCCTTCTGTGTTTGCATGTTCTTCTTGTGTCTACATGGTTCTTCGTGGTTATGCAGAGATCCTCCCACGGTACAAAAACAAGCAAAGGCATAGCCATCCTAAATTGAAGGTGTGATTGAATGACCACCTGTCTTGTGTGTGCCCCACTTCTCTCACCCTGTGACAGTTGGGATGGGCCCCTCTTACAGGGTGATAGAGTGGGTGGATGAATGGATGTTATAGTTTTCCCCGAGTCTTGTATACAGTTGGTCTTCTGTTTAGATCCCGAGGAGTTTAAAGCACTTCTACACTGACTGAACATCTCAGACCCAAAGGCTACATGCATCTCTTGTAAATGGCAAATCTGCATCCAGCTTCTTGTTAGCTTGTTTATTATGAATTAAAAGATTTGCTGTGCTATAATTTAATATAGGACCATCTAAGGTGTCTTGTGCTGCTGTAAGGCGTGTGGGATCTTTGAGGATGTCCTGGGGCCTCTGATGACAGATGGTTTGGGTTTTGTGGGCTGCAGTATGGGACCTTCTTTGGTCAACTTTCCTCCGAGTGGATTGGGTGGTTGTTGTTGCTGTTTTTGTTTTCAACTGTAAACACAAAATCAGATCTTTTTTTCCTCATACAGGCGTTATTTATTAGCTTTACATCAAGCATTTATGTTTTATTGCTACATGTTAATTCTGTACAATTTCCCTTTTACAAAAAGTCAGGGATAACTGTTTTGACCTGTGAAGTGAAAAGAACAGTTGTAGATCTGTTATGCTACTATGACGTCTGTCTTTACAACAGTCAATATCAAACAAAGTATTTTACAGATGTGTGAAAAAATTCATAACTGAATAACCATTAATATAGTATATTATGAGTTTATTTATAAAACTCCTGGAAGCATACAATACCAGGGTTAATATACCCTCATGTTTGTCCGTGGTTTTTGTTTTTTTTGTTTTGTTTTTGAGACGGAACGTAACAAAGACAACTTAATAATGCCTTTAAAATTTGAATGATGGCGTCATTTCGCCTTCTTTCAACAGAGTTCAGCTCGGTGGCAGGTGAGACGGAGCGTGCTTTGGTGCACTTGGGTTCCTCTCCTGTTTTGTTTGTTTTTGTGTTCAGTTGGCATCATGCTCAGTAGTACGAGCTCAGGTGGGAGTGAGTGGCAGGATGTCTGGTCATGGCTGACCCAGGATAGATGGGGCTGTTGGGTGAGTTCCAGTATGGTGACGGTGGGCCGAAAAAGTTTCCAGGGGAGACGGGCATAGGTGCAGGATGGCCACCCATGAAGTTCATTTTGGGCTGGTGGCTGTGGTAGGTCTGGACATAAGACATCTCATTCTGGTACTTAACAATCCCACCATCTCCTGAGTGGTTCTGGTGTGCCTGCGAGATGCCTTGGAAGTCAAATTTGTAGGCGTAGCGCTTGCCGTGCACCTTAGTCATGATGTTCTTGTCGTAGTAGTAGCGCAGGGCGCGGCTCAGCTTGTCGTAGTTCATGTTTGGCTTGCTCTTGCGCTCACCCCAGCGTTTGGCCACTTCGTCCGGGTCGGTCATCTTGAACTCGCCGTTGGTACCCTCCCAGGTAATGATGCTGGCATTGTTGCTGTCAGACAGAAGCTCCAGAAGGAACTGCCACAGCTGGATCTGCCCTGAGCCTGGGAGGATAAACGCAGGAGAGTTAAGGCACAGAGTTCTGATTTAACAGTGACTGCATGCTCAAAACAAGAAAGGAAACTGTTTGTGCCTATATTTATTTATTTTCAAGGAATACAATCATCAGTGTTTAAAAATGTAAACAGGTCGGCTTTAAAATTAGCATTTAAATTTGTGTAAAGATAAAGTTTTTTTTTTTTTTCCAATTTCTAAATGAGTTCTCAAGTCTTGACAGGAAAAAAAAAAGTCAAAACACTTTTAGTTTCCAGGATAAGTGAATGAATAAATACAGAGTTAGGGTAACTTGGCTACTTCAGCCTCATAGGATTAAATGCCTCATCATGGATCCATTTGCTCTTGGATAGCTCGTCAGGTTTTCTGAGTGTAACGAGTCCCAAACAAAAGTCAGAATATGCTTTATTTGTTTTCTCAGCAAATGTGACCTTTTCACTGTGTGGCTTGGTTGAAGTGATAGACATCAGGGCAGAAACCTACCCACAGGCCTGTGAGCGCTGGGGTCAGGGAGCTTGTATGCACTTTGTTTGCCTGTTCGGTTCTTGGATGAGTTGAGGGCTTGGCCTTCTGTGAGGAAACAGCAGGGCAAACAGTCATTCTGGTGAGAGGGAAGCCGGATTTTGTCATAGCGTAAAGCGTGATGACACAACAGCTGTTGCTTGGTGTTTACTCCACTTTGGAAAGTAAGTGCATGTGTGCCAGCCCTTGCTTGCTTGCTTGCTTGCTTCTCATGATGCCAAAGCAGACAGTGTAAAGGCCTCATTTGTATTGTCCTTGTCTATTTATCTTGATGATGGTTCAGATTCTTACCTGGGTTGGCTAGCCGACTGCTAATGGGTCCTAATGTCTGGTATGGGTCTGTAAAGAAGAAAAGGAATATTACTTTTACACATTGTCACTTTAATATTAATGCTCCAAGATTTAAATGCCCTGAAATGAGTTAAAACACATTTTCTTGCACACATAAGCAAAACTCAAGCTGAGATTGAAGAAACGCTCGACCAATCAGAGCTTTGAATGTGGTCTTTTGAGGAGGTTAGTTCAAATGTTCTAACGTGAGCACAATGAAACCTGTCAAACTAATATAATGCCTAAGGGATGTGTGATCAGTTCACCACTTTAGCCACAACCAATATCTGATCGTCTCCAACTGTTAAATGATTGCAGTCAGATTTGTGTTTCAGCAGTTTCTTTGGTGATCCTGTGACCTTTCAGGCCACAAGCTTTGTCTTTCTTTACAATTTGTTAAGTCACAGAAATCCAGTCAAAGTTTAGGTTTGTGCATCAGTTTAACTAAAACTAACAGCATTGTCCCATATTGTGCTTGTGGTGAGTTAACTAAGAAGGAAATAATTGTTAGATGAAGCTCGTTGACTCGATAGACTGAAAACAAACATTTAAAAAGGCACCGATGTCATTTGCATATCATTTTGTGTGACTCCTCATTTTCCCATACTTCCTACAGTGAGGGGTGCAATGAGTTATAGAGCCAAAAAAGAAGAAGAAAATGTTAGCAGTAAACCAGGATCTGCCTAAACATACACGTGGTCTTCGTACCTTGCCCAATCCTTGGAGCAGGCTCTGTAACTCGTGTACTGTGCTGGTGCTCCATTGAAGAACCTAAAAAAATAATAAAACTTGTGTATAATGTGTGAAATTGTTTGATTTTTCTGCTGTGTTAAAGCCAGAGAAAATGCAAAATCCATTGGGTGTTCTTGCATGAAAAAGTTCATCCTTATTATCGGTTTCATATCGTCTTTTTTTCATACCTTTAGGCACTGTAGTCATGGTGTTTGTCGGCCAGCTGTTCCTGCGGCTGATTTCATCAAAACTGTTCTCTGTATGAACACAAACACAATGAGGATGAGACCAGACACTGACGAGCATTCAAATCTTTGAAGTGGACATTAAGACGAGTGAGCTATAGTAGGAAGGAAGTTTAGTAAACCGAGACCACAACGATAAGGCTTTGGAGGTCTTGAGATGACCCGTAGTTTCTTGGGAGAGCATTCTTTTGTTCAGACCACCCTTGTTGCCACAAGATTGTGAATTTTGTCTCAGGAGCCGAAGCCATACCCCCTCATTTCCTTTGTCGGTGCAGCTGTTTCCTGTTTGAAACTGGCTGTTGAGTTTGGACTCGTCGGTTTTGGGGCCAATGTTGTGCCAAGGAGCCTTTCAGACTTTGGCACTGGGCAACATGGTTCTGAAACTCGGCACATCATTTTTAAATCGTTAAATGTTCTGGTAGTTCAGGCCTCTGTTAAAACCCTGCGCTCATAAGCTTTGATTTCATTCAGTTTTGTTTTTGTTTTTTTTGGTAATATGGCACCAATTCACAACAATGGTTCTCTCAAGCAAGGTTAATTTTAGTTAACTAAAACTAAACTCTAAAACTAGATGTAAACCCCCCCAAAATATTTTTTACAGAACAAAAAAATAGACTTGGAAAATACAACTGAAACAATTTTGTGAACTTGGAAAACTAACGAATGAAACAAAAATATAGAGGACGTTTTATTACTTCGTACTTAAGTCAAATTTAATCACAGTTTGTCTTGGATGTCTACAAAATGTAAGTCAACTGTGTTTTTATTGTAAGACCTGTGCTGACCCTGACATATGCCCTCCACACAATAATAATAAAAACTCAAACTAAAATGAGCAAACCTCCTCTTCAAGCTAGACTTAAGTCTGTTTAGTTCAGTTCAGTTTTATTTATATAGTGCCAAATCACAACAACAGTCACCTCAAGGCTTTGTAGTCAAATGAAATGGAAATTGATGAAACAAAACTATAATAACTCTGAACTCAAGGCGAGAACCTCAATAATCAGATGATCGTAGGCGACACAAGTCAAAGGAAGAGACCCCCACCAGAACCCGGCCCCCACAGAGAGGGGCTGTGGGTGATGGAAATGGAAAAAACCACCAGTTGCATCAAGCAACCTGAAACACAGACTATGACTAATAGCAAACTGTGGCAAACATGAACTACTGCACAGTTGTGCAGTGAGTACTAAAAGTTGGATGTCCAGTAACTGAATGTAGATGCTAATGTGTCCTGATCCACCTCTTACAGAAACACTTTATCAATGCTGAGACACATCAGTACTTATTACAAGCTACTCCCTCCTACACAAGCTGTACAGGAAGCCATCTCAAATGTTTGTGAAGATGTTTCACCTCTGGGTCACTGATCAGTTATTAATCATTTGTTGTCACATGAACCAAGGTGTAGAAAAAAAGTTACTGTCACTGGGGCCAAGGTGTGAAACATCTCTAAGACAATTTAACTCTTGGTTCTGTATGATGTCAGACATCTCTACCCGTGAATACAAAGCCCCACCCAGCTCAGATACTGTTTATGAGCAGCAGCCAATCATAAGTTGTCTTAAAGGAGAAACTGCTACAATGTCTTCTTTCAGATGGAGGATTAAGGGGGCGGATATAGATGCATATAGATTATTTTGAATAGTGATCATACTAAGCTACTTGAATATAGTACAGCAATTAAAGTATGAAACAAAAAAGCCCAATGGGTTAATTTTGAATCCTCCAATTAAAATCATACCACAGTATCTGCTATGAATGCTTAAAGTAGCAACGGAGAGGCTGTCCATAATAGTGCTCATGCTCAACAGTTACAGAGTACACCAAGTACAGTTTACTGGTCATGGTAGAAAGCCTAGTTTGAACTACTCTAATTTTTTTTTAAATTATAAATCTTTTAGGTAAGTGGTTTGGTAGTAAGCATGAAAGAAATGAAAGACAGTCATGCTGTGTGTTAGAAAATGTAACCTCAGAGTTCAGGACATGATCTAAATAAGAGTCTGCAGTGAGGTTTAGAGGAAAGACTGCTGTTCACATAAACCTGAAACAAGAAAAGGTTGGAAATCCTGACGTCTCACAATGGTTTCATTTACTGTAGCTGGTTTTTTTTGTGTGTGTGTGTGTGTGTGTGTGTGTGTGTGTGTGTGTGTGTTGTTGTGTGTGTGTGTGTGTGTGTTGTTTTGTTTGTGTGATCAGCAACCTTTAACCCTTTAAGACCTACCATAGAACCAAGTCCGCCAGAGCTTATATTATATTTTTACATGCTGTGGAGCCATTTTTGGGAGCATTTCAAGTTGCTATACATCAATGCAACCATTATAGCCCAAATTTTAATAATATGTCTGCATTAAGTGCATAGTAATTACATAATTGCAAAAAAGTGCAATAAACTACAAAAAAAATAACTTTAAAAACACCAGTATAGGCTCATGAGGCCCTGATGGTAACAAAAACTACATTTCTGTGAAAATGACATCACTTCCGGTTTCGGGCAGTTACCGGGATTTAAAAATAGTTACGCAAAACAGAGCATGCCCGCTAGAAAAATGCAGTGCAGGAGAAAGGAACGTATTGTTTTCCTCTGAAATTTAAGACTAAACACATAAAAATACCCTAAAATCAAATTATTTTGAGGTGCCCATAATTTACTTTAACTACAATACTCGAGTAAACATCTGCCACTGCATTTTAATTAAAAACTGGTTTGTTTTTATCATTTCAGTATCAGTTCTGATGATTGTGATGGTTTTGCTGCAGAAAGTGCAGTGACTCGTGACAGTCTAACAGCCAAGCGTTTTATACATTTCAGTCCTGCAGAGTTGTTATCGCGACCTCATTTTGAAGAATGACCACAATATTATGAACTGTTCTATTTTTCAGAACCCTAACATCCTGTATTAAATGGAAATGTACTTTTATAGAAACGATGCATAAAATAAAAATGCACCTCCCTTCAGATTTGGTTTTAATGCAACACTTGGTAAATAACAGTCCCAGTAAACCGAAACCTCAAATTAGAATTTATTTATTAATTTAACACAAGTCAGCTAATCAGCTTCATCTGGACGATGAAGGTATAACTGAGTTTAATTACAGTTCACCCCAAAATGAACCTTGCATGACCCCAAGAAATGTCGTCCTTTCCTTGAACGTAATGCAACTAATTCACAGTAACTTTGTGGTGCTGAAAGCGGCAAAAACAAAAAATACATCTGAGAACCTAAGCAGCCGTGTGTCTTACCAGAAATCGTGACCAGGTTACTGAAACCCTCCACAAACCTTGTTGTGAGTGGTTTCATGTAGGAACTATTTGTTTCTATCAAACTACACCCGCTAACTGTATCGCAGTGCAGAAGGAAGTGTGTATCTGACACTAGGCCTCGTGCTCGTGGCGGAAGGTAAATATTACCAACACTGCCTCTTTGAACTGAACTGAAGTTAGCTAGCTGTGCACTACTTTTGGGTGATGGATGCAGACAGTCGAAAGCAAAATGAATACATTAAAATATATATATTTATATTCAATTCTGAGGTGAAGGGCACCTTTTAGTATATGTGGAATCAGTGGATAACTGAACAACTTTGATGTTAGTGTTGCTAATTATGATTTTTCACTAAGCAACAACACAAAATCCCTCATGTTTGCTATTAAAATATTTGGGACCTCATCACACAAAGAAGCTGATTCGGAGAATGTGTTGTCCTGAAAGTGGGTGAAATGTGCCAGAGGTTGATCTCACCTGTTTTCACCTGTCTGGGCGGCTGTTGTTGTGGTGGTGTGTTGTTGGTGGGAGTTGTTGGGTAGGAGAACGTTGGACTACCTGGGGAAAAAAAGATTCAAGAATGAAATAAAATTCAATGTTATATTCTAGAGTAGTGTCTGTCCTGTGTGTCAGAAGCATAACGTTATAACTGTGGGGTGGGGGTGCTTTGTTTTTCCTGTTGCTTCAACAGACTCGACTTTTTTGTCCAGCCAGTTGAAAAGAAGGGACTGTGAATGCCTCGTGAACCACTAAGATAACTTGAAGGTGAAAACTCAGGCTTTATTTAAAAAAATGAGGATCTATCAAAGACTGAGGTGCCAATTCACCAGAAAAATTCTGGAAGGATCTGAGAGGACCATTTCCTGTGATACTGAAAGAAATACTTTTACGAACACTGCATCATTTTCTGCAGTAAATTCATCACCACGGCTGTTTTTGTTTCACTACTTTTTAATCTTTTTTAAATCTGCTTTCGAACATTTAAAACCTCAAACCTTTTCCTGAAACCTTTACTTTGATTTTTGTTAATTCAAAATGTCTGCTTCCCTAACCTCAAGGCTACTAAGCACCCACATTGTCTTCCTCACAGCCCACCCTCAGTGCAACACTGGATGCTGCTGTTCATTTGTCCACCTCTTGTCGAACCAGCTCAGACACGATGACTGCAGTGATTTGCACTCGTCAAACTGCTGCTGCTTCAGTCACAAACACTTGGTAAATTATGTAATGTAGTACGGATCCAAACTCATGGTGACGTACGTGTGTTACGCGAAACACAGGAAACCTGCTTTTGCAAAGAGGAACAGTGGCCACAACGCTCAGTGAAGACCACAAATTTGGTTAACAGAACAACAAACGAGAGCCTGAAGTGACATCATGTTCCTCAAAACAAAAAACATCATGAACTCTTTATTTGCCCCCAATGAATCTGCGTTTCTCTTAAATGCACTGATACCTGGGTGGAGTTTATTTATCAGTAAATCCAATTCTGAGATAACAAACCTCAGGAAAAATATTTAAAAAATCCAAATGCACACTTTCAAAAATGGTTTTTGCTGCAATTCTTTTCCGAGTGTTTAATTTCAGAAGATCTTCATTACACGGACAAAAATGGAAATGCTTCAGCGAGACTAACGCAGCTGCGTCGGGGAACTGTTAGATCCTCGTGTTCGATGCATTTCTGCCACTTGAAAACCTTTGAAATCTGCGAGACGTGAACAATGTTATCAGCTGCAGAGCAAGATCTCACACATGAAGCCAGCCTTACTCTGCCGGAGGTAATTGAGGTGCGAGAGCAGGATGTCTGCATTGTAGGCCGACGTGAGCCGCATCATGTCGTCTTTGGTCATCTTGCACAGGGCTTTCCCATCAAGCGCTTGGAAAAGCATGACATCCACCTGCTCCAGGACGTACTCCTTGATGGCCCAGTCCAGCCACTGGCGCACGTGGTCCTGCGTCCACACCTCGGGATCTGGAATTGAAGAGAGGCGCTTAGTCATTTATTACACAGACTTTCACTCATGTTTGGCATTTTTTTGAAGAGTTGAACATCCTTTGTGAGGCTGTTCTGCTTTTTGTGTATCAGAAACTTTCAAACAGGAAATTGTAGAAGCTACTTACTGGGGAATTATCATAAATTACTCTGATTAATCTGGTCACTGATTTCCTGTGAAAACACTTCCAGGAGTGGTTAGCTCAAGCAGTAACTTCAGCTTTGATGTGAAGACTTTCACACGAGTTTAAAACCTGGATTTTCTTTAACTCAGCACTGCAGCCTGGATGTGAAGATTATTAAGATGTTCATTTTTACAAAATTGAAGTTTTACCTTTATGATGTCAGGAAAATTACGTTTTCTAAAATGTCAGGAAGGAATCTTTAAATACCAGCAGTGCTCGCCTGTAATCCTTCACACCATCACATTGGGGGGGATGAAAGAGTCAACAGTCTAAAGAGCACTCAGCACACAGCTAAATGCGACCTGTTTGTTTTGGAGGTCATGAAAGTGCTGATTAACACCGGATACTTCTTAGTGATTCTGATAGTGATTGTAAAATAGGTGGTAGGGTGGGAATAACCACACTGTCAAAACAGATAACACACCCCTAACCAGAGAACACGTTTAAATGGGTCCTGCTTATATTTATAGTCATAAAAGTTCATCCAGTGGAGCCATTCAGAGGGTATCTGGTGATCTTTAAAGGGCTGAGAAGTCAACTGAAATTTGAGGCCGGGATTGTTTTTCTTTTTTCTTTTAATAAATTAATAGTCATCTTAAAATTTATGACAACACTTCTGTTATATTTACGTGCATAATTAGGAAAATTACATTTAAAATAAGCTGTTCTTTGGTTTCAGCCATGTGTTTTCTCTTTTTGTTTTTTTCTTCTGACTGTTCAACTGCTTCTCCATCTGCGCTCTTGATTTCCCTGAAGGGCTCAATATTCAGGGAGTAAATAATGACCATAATACTGAGCTGAAAACAGCTTTTTAGAAATATGGCTTTGACAAAGCCGTCTATATTTACGTTCATTAAGCATATTTCATGTACGTGGGAGTGTTTTACATTTTTGACATGCATTAGTGTTGTAGTGCCGGTTGGTGGGACTGAAAATGGCCCATCAGCTGTGTGTTCTAAATTATTATGAAGCGCTGAAAGGCTTTGAAACTTATAATAATGAAAAAAGATTTTAATATTCGATTTGCACACAAACTGGGAACAAATGACAGAAACATTGGTATTGATGGTACCGGTCTGCTATTGGTCAAATTATTATTGTAAAGGTGAAACATTGGTGTGAGTCCAATATTTCATAATCTACATACAACACATGTTAAAAAAAAACAAAAACATTTTTGAGTAAACTCTGATTACACGTTTGTTCACACATAGAAATATTTTTTTAATCTCACCCCTTTGCCATATGTCATTAGTCAATATTTAATCAGCTTCCTTACTGATATAATCTGCAGAAGTAATAACGAACATATTTCTGATATATATACACCGCATGATGAAATTTCCTAAACTCTAAACTCTACTGTTTTTTTTACTCATTCTAGCCTTAAAAGTATTTTTTTAATCGTGTTGTAGTAATATGCATCTCACAGAGATAGACTTCATCTTGAATATTTCTTTTTGCTCATTTGGATTTTCATTGTCTTTTTTGTTATTGTTTGAGGGATCCAATACACATTCTTGTTCATTTATATAATGCTGAATATTGTACTCTTTAATTGTATCCTGTGTGCTAAGAGCCTAACATGTTTTTAAGCTCAAGTCAGTGGCAGCTTCAGCTTGGCTTGGTGTTGATCTGTTAAAATATACCTGGTCCGATTCAGGAAGCTCATTTCCAGCAGCAAACAATGACTGTGTGCTGTGAACTGGCTGTGATGTTGGACGGCAGCTTCAGCTCTGAGCGGACGTTATCCTGCCCTTTAGCTCCTGATTGTTCTGATCAACACGTGTTGCTGTGATGCAACATCCGTGTATTATAAGGCAGAATAACTCTGTGATGGTGACTCACGGATGATTTGTACATTAATTTTAAAATCATCCACCTCACCTGCCAGCTGAAACGTGCACTGAAACATGCTGTCTGTTTAACGAGTCTCTGGGGATGACAAAATCAGGGAAGCTGTGACAGAGGAAGAATTTAGATGACTGGACCCGTGATTCATAGCAGCGATAAAAGGGACAGCAAACTGAACTACTCGGCTAGAAATGACACATCGGCGCGTTTAATCCAGTTTGTGCATGGGCGATTTTTTTCTCTGCAAACAGAGAGATCGGTGCATTTTTCACATCGCTCAGCTGAAACAAACTTGCATCGACACCACGACTTATAAAAACGATACACTGAATTAGTCGCAGCGACACATCCTTCCTGTTTTGTCATGTTCACATTCGTCTGATGAGTATCAGCCTTGTGTGTATTAAATATTAGGGCTGGTGTTGTTCTCTACTCTCAGAAGATCAACAGATGTGAAAAGCAGCCGGTGGCTACGACATCAGTCTCATTCATTTCAGATTTTTTTAATACCTTTCAAATGTGTACTTTTTAAAGATAGACACTGTTGCTGTAGAAGAATGTGAAGTAAATATTTGTTTATTTATTGTTGGAGCTTTTTATTCATTATATTTATTATTTTGAAATTTGTTGTTGGTTTACTTATATTTTTCGTTATAAGTTTTATTTGTAGGTCAATACTTGTTTCATTTTTTGCTTTGTTTTGTTGTTTATCTTGTTAAGTCAGCCAGGAAGAACAGTAGGGCCATTTTCTGTAAGTAAAGGGACTGGTATAGGGCCAGCATGCACTGGGGTGGGCCTATGGTTTTTTACCAGAGCAGGAGAAGCAGCTGGAAGCAGCAAAAATGGATCTTTGTTTCTTGCTTGCCAAACTGGATAAATAAATCATACAAAGCAACTTTCAAGTTCTGGATATTGGACTTCTTTTGCCTGCTTACAAAATCTTACCGCAGTGCAGCAGTGGCTTGTTGATTTTAAATCGTTGGATGTTTGGTTGGACAAACATTTATTATTAGCTTTATAGCGATATAGATTTACTAACAGGTATGAAAGCTGCTGAAATATGCCTGCATGTTCCTGCTGATTAATATACCATAAAAACCATGTTGTACACAGTTTCTTGCTATAAAAGCTTTGCAGTCTAATACTACCAGCTGTTTGAGTTACATTACACTATTATAATAATCTTCATGTGATCTCCTGATGTATATTACAGTGAAATCTGTGTATTACATACCTGCTTTGTTGCAATTCTGCATTCAAATAAAAAGTAAAATAAAGTGAGAGTAAATGAACTACTATGGCAGAAGTGCTCAGTTAATTATTTAAAGCATCCCTTGAGATAAATTCCTGTGATGTATTAATGTGGTGCACACATATTTATGTGATTTCTTGGGTTTGCTTTGAGTTTAAAAAAGAATTCATTTCAAAGAATATTTAAATACTGTGTTTTCAGACGTAGCTGCTGGTTATTTATGTATTTTCATTACAGTCCTGAAAAAGGAAGCGAGCTGATTAAAACTGAAAATGTTGAAGCCTGCTCATCAGGTCTGTTCTTGCTTGTTCTCTCTTTTGTTAATATCACAGTCCTGAGTGTTAATTTTGCACTTTAGACTTCACACTTTTTTTGAAAGCCTGATGTCACCTTGTGCCACAACTGCTAGAAACCTGCTATTGTTTATCTGTTGTGCTCCGGGGCTCTTGGGGCTCTTTTAAGAGACGAATAATTACACGCACATGCCCGTCTCTGATTCAGTTAGTACTGATGTTGCACAAGCCCAGGCTGTGCCGGCTGTTGGGAAACCGTCTCGTGATGGGGACAGTGATGCATCATGGCGGCTGAGCGCCAGCTCATTTGAGTGGCTCAGCTCACCTGCTGGCACGATGACCCTCTTCTCCTCAGTGGCACTGCTGGGTGGGGTGGTGGCCTGGGGGCTGACGCGGGGCTCTGTGTACGAGGAGGCCTGGTACTGCATCGAGGCCCCTTCATTGCTCATGTGTCTGGAACGCTTGGTGACGCTGCAATCCACTGGGGACTCGCGACTACGACAAAAGGAAAAGAGAGGCTTTAGTCAGCATCTGAGGAGCAATTTCAGTCTTCTAAATGTCTCGGGAATACATCAATTACTCTCCACAGTCAAATTATGAAGAGAGAAAAATCTGTGACAATAGACTGGATGCAGTTTCAGCCAGCTACATTTCCTCTCAGAGTTTTTGCTAGTCTGTATATGACAGGAGGTAAATTTAGTCAAACTGTTTCTCTGCAACAATTTCCACTGAAATGACCTGTCAGGAGTAGGTGGCGTGCATCACTAATTTAACCCAGTTTTCACCACATAGACAGTTTTTGCATAAAAATAGAAGTTGTTAGAAAATACTTGCACTCAGTAGCGCTGATCTAGAATTAAAAGCCCTACTTAAATAACGGTGCAGAAATGGTATGAGCAGAGTGTACTACACTTAAATATAGAAAGCAGATGTAAATGTGTCATGGTTAAAAATCATATTTGTATTTGTGAATGTAACTTGTTGAAGTCATTTTTCATGTTATTCTTGTTTGATTTATTCTGTTTAAAAGCTTCAGAGTTGGAGGAGGTTGCAGAATATTTCACCAACTTGGGATTTTACTTCAAATTCAAAGTCCAGCTGAAATCTTGCTGATCATAGAATCCCAGTAAACACAATACAGGCACTTGTATCTGGTAGTTTTGGTAGGAGCAAAACTTTTGAGCTTTACCCGAAGTGTTTTGCACGTTCTGTTTTTATACGGTTCTTTTATTGAAGCGGTAATATTTACTGTCACATTAGATGGTCAAAGTTGTGAAAGTTGGTTGCTAAACTGGCAACCATCTCCATATCAGCACTGTTAACCTGCTGGTCCTGTTGAGAATGACTCACTACGTCAGGCTTCATGCAGCCACTCGCTTCATGCGGTCTGAAACAATCAGTTTTGGTTAGCTACCTCGCCATTCATGGGATTGCAGTGTGATTGGGTGCCTATCACAAACACAAGGTAAGAACAGAAAGTAGACGTGGCTTCTGTGCTTAAAGCCTGAGCTTGTGTGCCTTAATAATGATTTCTGACATCATACTGAGCCAAAGAAATCTGTAAAACTGAGCATTTAGAGTAGTCTGAGCTTTCAGTGCAAAGGGATTACTTGTGCTGCAAGAAGTTAACTTTTAAAAAAAGTCAATTTGAATTAAAGGATTTCTATTAAAAATGGACATAAATCCCTGTCAATTAGATTTAACATGCAACAAATAGGAAAAGAAAGACTTTAAAAAATACACTGACTTTACTAAATGAAAAAGCTGTTCAAGCCTTGTTAGGATATCTCGTTATATCTACACAGAGCCTTATGCAAATGTGGAAAAATGCTTTTAAAAAGTTCTACAAGATTTTTCTTTTTTCAGTCTAAGTATCAAAAGTAGAAGTACTCATTCATTCAAATGTCAGCTGTGATGGATGTCACATTTGAAATTAATAGAACGGCAACAGTCTAATAGTGTTTATGTCTCACAGTGGGAGGTGGATGCTGATAAACAGCCTGCGTTTGAGTAGTTTAGCGGTTTCTAACTGAAGAAGCGGGGACAGAAAAACAAACAAACCAAACAACTGATTTGTATTTTACGTCTGTTTTCAAATGAATCTGTGAGGTGCTCACAACATTGATATCTCAGAAGCCAAAAGTTTTGGAAAGTATATGCTTAATGTTTTTTGGTGTATCATGTTTTATTAAGTAGCTGCGGAGTGTAAACGCAGCGCAGTATAAAGTGAGCAGCGTGTTCAGGTGGACCACAATAATGCAGGAAATTAAAATATTGAACATAGGGACCCAAATTTCCATCACAGCCGGCCCACGCTTTGTAGCGATGATGGGGGGGGAAATGAACAAAGCCGTGACCACAATCAGAGGCGGGAATCTGGGAAGTGAACGATAAACAAATATTTTTAGTATGTGGAAAACCCGACATACCAACGTGGACTCGAGTCAGATAATACGGGAACCCGCGCTCTCCTGTGGCCTCGGCGTGCCGTGACTCACCTGGTGCCATTGACGTGTTGTTCTCTCTTCCCAGCACTTGGTGCTCCTGGCCCCACCCACTCCGGCTCAGTGGGCTCGGGGCTCTGCTTGTTTGTCTGGCTGAACCCGCCGGGCGACGTCATCTCGGTCTTCATGTGCATGGCCGGGGCTGCGGGGTAGGTCGGCTCGAATATGGGCTGATCCTCACTCACCACGGACAGCGCTTCCTGTTCAACAGAACCGCGGGTCAGTGTCTGCCGGGTCACAACCTGTGGAAACTGCTTTTTCAAAACACTTATTTTTATCCACCGAAACGAGCAGGAGCTGATTGTAGCAGCAGCATTGACGCTTTAATGCTAAAATGTTTTCTGCTTGTATGAAACCAGATTGAATTAATCACATCCAGGATTTGGATCAGGAAATAATATCGCGTATTTCAAGTATATTAATTCATGCTGCCATAAAGTGTTAAATCTGTGTCACAAATATAGAGTTTAAGAAGAAGGTTAAGTGATCTTCACTGAATACGAATTAATTTCATTGTTTACGAAATGTTACTCAAACAGCAGGAAGTAATGAATTTGTTGCGACTATTTTCGCCAGTGGATTAATGCACGTTAGTGAGCAACAGGATGATGTATGTGTGACTGAGTCAAAACAAACTAGTCCCCCAGTCAAGGGTTCTTAATAGTTTTTGGACAACAATGGCAGAGAGGAAACATATATATCAGATCAGATACCTGCTGCGAGGAAGCACATTTCTATTTTTGGAAACTTGCTCAACAAAAGGAAAAATGGCTTCCAACAGAAGTTCGATGGTTGAGAATCAGCAAAAATCAAAAAGCAACAAATTAATGCCGATGTCAGTTAATATGGGCTGAATACGTTGTGAAGTTTTAATATTTAATTTTATTTCTTGTGGATGAAACGTGTAATCAGTTTGTTTTTGTTCACTTTTATTCAAACTCAGTTAAATTCACGACTGCATTACACACTTTTAGAGTTGCACTCAGTGGCTACACCGATAAACTGCTTCTGAATGTGTTTTAGACATTTACCATTATATTTGGTTCAATCCATTTTGTAAAATAAACGATCTAATTTTATTTTTTTAAAATAAATTAACTGCTTCTAAACCCAGTTTGGGGTTCCTGGGTATTATTGTAGATACTTCACTTAAAATAGTTGCTAACATGGGATTTGGTCTTTATATAATTAAAAGATGTGCAAAATTCTGACCCAAAAAACCAAAAACAAAATGATGGGTTTTTAGGATCCGATAAAGAAATGCTAAGTGGCACAAAATAGACGAATCCGCGTTGAAACATAACTGTCTGGTTGGAAGGTTGAATTCAGTCAGATGAACTATTGTTGATGAACTGTGCAGGAGTGGAAGTAATTACACAAGAAACCAGGAAAACTGTCAACTTTAAAATGTTGAAAATCTTTTTTTGTTTTTGTTTTTTTGTTTATGTTGCAAAATGTATGTTTATGTTGTGGTGTGTTGTCTAGATTGTCATTGTTTTATTTATGTTTAAAAGTGTTTAATTTGTTAATTTTGATAACATTGCAAAAAAAAAAAAAATAAAGATTATTTTCCTTTGATTTTGTAAAAGCAGAATAATCCCTGATTTTGTTTTCATGTATTTCTTGAAGGCCTCAAGACGAGAACTTGAGTGACAAATTTCAAGAAAAAGTATTTTTAGAAAGCCCTAAAAAAAGGTAATCATGTCGATATAATGGAGCATATTTTTGAAAACAGAAGCACATGAAAATCTGTCACTCACAAACATATTGCAGTTTTCCTGAACTTCAACTGTCTGGCTGAAATTCCCTTTGTAAGAGGCCAGATTTGGGCCCTGGGCTGAGTTTGAAGGATTCAACTCTTCTCTGCACGATAAAGAATTCCCCTGTGACTGTTTAAAACTTTAAATGCATGTTTAACGTAAAAAGCTACAGGAGGTTATGAAACCACTACAATGAGGAGCGAAATGAACTGTGAAAGCAGCCAGGAGGCTGTCTAATCATAAAGAACATCAGTAACCTTAACCACAGTTTTATTTTGTCGTTAGGATCGGGGTTGCAGGGAGGGGGAGGGGTGTTAGCTCAAGGTGGAGTCTAATTGAGATTTAAGTCCGTCTTCCTGTGCTCAGCGCCCAAAATGTGGCCTCAAAACCGCTCGAAGATGGCACTTTCATCCCACGTACTCAGGAGGCCAGAGACCGGACCCGTTGTTCTGTCTGCTGCTCAAATTAAGTGCGTGCATGTGTGATGCGACCACGGCCATCTAAGTGGGTGCAAGTGCATGTTTGTTTAGAGGAGCTGAGCATTGTCTTTGGGCCTTGTACGTCAGTGCCGTGCTTTTTCAGTGGCCTACAGGAAACCAGGCCGCCATGTGCACAGGAACCTTTTGGCACAGGCCAAGGGAGAGGAAATGGTGGAGGAGGGGGTGCATAGTGTGAAAATGTGGGTCATTTTAAAGCTGGAAAACAACCCTTAAAGGCCTGTGGTCAGAGAGGAGAGGGGTGGACGGAAAGAAGAGTATGAGCCTTGATTGAAGTGCCGCCATCACATTGTTTTTCATTTGTGCGTGTGTGTGTTGTTTTGTTTGTTTGTTTGTTTGTTTTTAGCTCAATTGTTGCCTGAGCACTGTGAACCACATCTTAATGCATGGCACACAATTCGGCATTTCCTTCATGCTGCAGACAAACTCCTACAGAAGTCAGCTACTGCTTCTGCTGCGTGGAGCGTTTGCTGCTGTGTAATGGATACGCCCTTTTTCTAGAAGAAGGTTACGTTTTCATTTCACTCCAACCCACGATTACACAAAAAAGTTGCTCAAGATTTTAAAGACACAATTGTTACGAAAAATATTGAACACTGCACTATTGTCAAAATCATAGACTGTATGTAAAAGATGGATGTCAGCACCTACTGGTTTGTGGACTCCTTGCTTTGTTGAAGCCTCAAATTTAGGTTTCAAAATGTGAGTCGTTGGAAACATTTGAGCCAAAAGTGGCCATATTTGGATGACGGATGGCAGTGTTACATACAAACACAGACACCTGCTGACTAGTGTTAATGTGCCCAAATTCAATGCTAATACTCGCCTCCTCTAAACTAATTAACTAATGAGGTGAGAAGCTGCACTATAGGACCATCCAGACTTCTTGGATGGTCCTATATTACAAATGGCTACAAAGCAGGTGTCAGTATATCAGATAACTGATTTAGAAAATTCTTCAGAAAGCACCAACACCAAATATACAACTGCCGGGTCTATTTCTCTGACTCATATTACTGGAGATGAAGCCAGTGACTACAGTCACCAACAAGGATGGCCTCATAATGCCACGTGATAAAAATCTACACAGATGAGAACCCCCTCCGCCAAGTATAGTCACTGTGAGCACACAAATACGATTCAGGGGTGCGTTTTTTCTGTCTACTGTAAACATGTTTATTTGTGCTGTAAAGTTGGAGATTTTAACTTGGGACTCTCAGCTTCAGGCTGCTGTTTGATCAAAATTCATGCAGATGGTTACTTCAGATGAATATCTGTCATTTAAAAAAAACTGCCTACAATACCCATAATGCAACATGAACGCTGACACTTTTGTAAACTACCATCTAATATTGTTTTTATTTCGAGTTTGCAGTTTTTTTTCTTGTCATGCTTAATGTAGCCGAACCAAAACCTTATTCACACTTTGTTTACAGGAATACTTCCGCATGAAAGACCAGCAACAGAGTCTGACGCATGTAATGCTGTAAATGTAGGGCTCTGTGTGTGTGTGTGTGTTGTATGTTTGAGAAGTGGTTAGCAGGACTGCATGTTGTGCTTTGTTCTCCATCTCTTTGCTTTCTTTTACTTCTGTTGTCCTCTTGTTGTCAGTTTGTCTTCTCACACTCCGGGGCCCTTTACTCTGTGCAGAAGTGAAACAGTCAACTGAAGGCGGGATAAAACTCGCTGCTGACAGCAAATTCTCACGAGAATGCGTGATAGTAGGCAGTTGTGAGCTGTAGCTGAAGATTGTATCTTTTTTTTGTTGCTTTGTTTAGTTTTTTAATTTTATTTAGAGCTCAAAATTCAAGCTGACATTATCGTCACTTGCAGTTTCTCATCCAAACGTTTGCTCTTTGGCACAGTGAGTTCAGTGAAAAGCTCATGCACACTCCCGCTCTTTCTTTATCTGTTTCTTTCTGCTCTTTCCCTCTCTCTTCATCTCCTCTGCTCACTGATACAAATATACCAAACTGCGGCCTGACCGCCGATGCCACAACTGACTTCCTGTTGAGAGCGTTTCAGGCTGTTGCTCAGTGACACAAAACTGCTTTTAAAAACATGACCTTCTTGAAACTGAGGCCGCCTTGTGCCTCGATGTCCTAAAATTTACGCCGCTGCTGCTCACTTTGATAGCACGCACTTTCCACTTTGAGTGAGCGCACAAACACGAAGTCCTGCATGGAAACTTTTGACATGGCTGTCAGCAGCTTTGCAGGTTGCATCAGTGCAGTCTTGCCCAAGCCAGCAACTAAAAGCGTGCTCACAGGAGGCCTGTCGAGTTGTGGATCTTTATTCATCTTTGTATAAATTTGTATAAGATTCATAGTTTATCCACATTTAACCATGAATCCAAATGCCTTATATTCCAAGACTCACTTTAATAACTCTACCTGCAAAAGTCATTTTTCAGTAGCACACGAGAAGGCCATTGCAACAGAGCCTGAATCAGATAACGTTAGGTAGTAGTCTGTTATGAATCACACACGAAGGGTGTTGGTGTTCAAAGACTCTTAGTTTTTACTGCCAAGACCTTTTCATTTAAAGGAAATTTCCCCTTAAATATATCCTGCTGCATGTACTATTCTACATGTATTTGTACTGCTAAAGTTCACCTGTAACCAGGGCTGCAACCAAAAACTACCATTTAGGTATCTCACAATCTAATGAATATGTCCTGGTTAATAATTTGATCTATAAACAAACAAACAAAAATTGTAGAAATTCCTGTGTAAGCCTTAAAATACTACAAACAGGTAACAAATTAAAGGAAACCAACATAAAAGGTCTTAGTGAGCCAGACTAACCTAAATGAAATGATTCTGCAGTCTGAAGCATTTAGTGGAAGGATGAAACACCGGTTTTCCAATTATTTCTGTATTTGTTGTGTGGCAATATTAGGGAAGACTGCGGTCTAACAAAACTGTTAAGGTGGGCTGAGATTTGGTTACTCTGAAACAATTATGATTCACATCATTTTCATTCTCTTCAAACCATTCACCTTTCACCCTCACTCCCTGGATAAGCAGTGTTATCCTTAATTAGGAGAAAAATATTTCATAAACAACTTTATATAGATTTACAGTGGCTCTTTACCACTGAGGGGATCATTTGACCCAAAACATGCTTGCAACACAGCATAACAAAATCACCACATCCCCTAACCATAGAGGTAGAAGGTCATTGGTTCTACTTTTTAAAGGGGAGGGAAAACTGTCAGTTCCCCAGTTTGGAATCTAGGTGCACTAAAAACAAAAAGTAGCCCTTTTAGATGAATTTACTGTTGTTCGTTTAATTCGTAGTTTCCAGCAGGTTGCCAAATGTTTAGCAAGACAACTAGAAAATATTTGTGTAACAATTTTATTTTAAAGATATGTCTTTTATCTGGCTCACTGCATAAATGTTCCATATCTCTACCTCTACGCAATATTTAATAAAACAATACACTGTATGAAGGGGTTAAAGGCCAAAAAGGTTGGTAAGCCACTAACCCTAAGCTGGAACAAAGGATGTGGTTAACAACTTGCAAGAAGCAGTTACATGATTAAAATCTGTTTTATATTTAGTCGTTTATGACGCCCCTCAAGGCTTATCTTGGGCTGAAGAAGCGGATTGGGTGATATATGTTGATGCCTGCATTATCTTGCCTTCAGTAAAATATGCTGCATGCAGCCTGACAAATAACCTGGATTGATATTTGAATAAATAATAGTGCAGCGCAAACAGGACTTCCACATATCCATCTCAAACGCTGGTATTTTAATGAGAAACATTGTATTTTGGTGATTTCTGAGTTCCTCTTTCCCCCCCTCGGTGTTTTTATTTATAGAGACTAAAAGTCTTAAAGCTTAACTGAGCTCCTGCTTACATAAGAGTCTGATTTCGGGTTATTTAAGTTTAATTTAAATAATAATAATAATAATAAAAAAACACCTACATTTGTGTTTAAGTGCAGCCCACGCATGAGGTGTATGCTGCAGTAAAAGACCAGAGATCACGTTGTGCAAAGGCACAGCCCTTTGTCCTCGCCATGTCTGAAGCAACAAGTGGCAGAAAGGAGAAGTAAAAGTTGAGCTGATTTTGCAAAGGCTCGAGCAGCTGCGCTTTGTGCTGCACAAACAACGGTGCGGTTTTCACAGCTCGGATCCTGACAGCACGCAGGCCTCTGCAGGCCGCAAACTCGGGGCCAGGCCTCTCTGCTCCAGCTCCCTGTCAGCGAGGGAGCGGGCAGCGCAGCCACGACAACGCAACGCCTCACTTTGTCCACTTTGTTTCTGTCTTTCAGAGCCTTTGTTGCCTTTTTGACTTTTTTTTCTGGTCCAGGGAGCGGAAATGTGTGCGGAAAGTCTGAGGTTTGAGACAGGAAGCCTGCTGCGTTCAGATAACGACACCTGACAAGTGCTCCCGTTTGCTGCTATAAATTATTCTTAAAATAACCTCAAACACAATCGACAGCTACAGAGTACAAGAGAATAAGCATCTGGATAATTATATAAAAATAACAAAGAATCCCAAAGAGTCTCCCGACACTGAAACTACAAACTAAAAAGAATTAAAAAAAAACTCGTCATAAAGGATGTTAATAATAATTTAAGGTTTACTTTTAGTATGGCTTCATTTTGCCCCTTTTTTGTACTAGCCCTTTAATTGCTGTCCTTTTCATAACGAGAAACCACGTATCTCGGTCATGTTTAGCGCCTAAAAACAGCTGCACATACAAATGCATGTTAGAAACAACCCGAGAAATCAGCGAATAATGACTTCCTGCATCCGAGGAACGCTTTTTCTTGCAAAAAAGGTTTTGCAGCCGTAATGAAATTTTAAAGGAATTCGTTATAGTAATTAATTTTGAACTAATTAAAAATGTCAAGATTAAAATAGCGTCGAAATTAAGAATTGTGATCGTGCATACTGCAAAAATCACAGTACAGAATTATATACGTGCATATAAAGGCCCAGTGTTGCATACTGGCGCAATTTAATAGAAACCGAGCGTGAATTGGGTCACTTGAGTGCACAATCGGATTAAAATAATTGCATTTTCCCCTCGTTGCGCAACAGTCGGCGCTAATTTCGGTAAAAAGTTCGTTTTCTCTCTGACACAGAGGCCTTTTATTTCAGCTTCTCTTAGAAGATAAGACATCGAAACAATTAACGGTCCTCAGGAGACGATAAACAGCTGTAGCTGTAATAGTGTGGAATGTGAAATACCAGTCATCTGATGGAAATGGATCCTCCTGCTCCAATTCGATCCATGACGCCTTCGAGGACACCTGCCTTACGCGCACCGAGAAAGTCCAGCATCCCCTTCATTTACTTCATCTTCGTTAAAGAAACAAAAGCGTTTATGAAAGCGATCGGTGGTCAGTAATTTGACTCTCCGTGCCTTATGCTTGTCGTTATTTGTGGGTCCGTGAATAATGCAGGAAGAGCTCGACGAAATTACGAAAAAAGTCGAAAGGCGTGCGTTTGGAAATCCTCTTTTACGCGTATAACCGGCCACCAATTAGTGTTTTTATCTGAGTGTAAAGATGTAGTGGTTAGTTGTGTTATTATAGAGCCGACATACAACCACGAACGGGAAGGAAGAGGAAATTTTGTACAAGAAGGAAAGAGTGGGGAGCTCGCATCACCGCCTTGACTCTCTCACTCAGCAGACACACGGTGTGGGTGGCCGCCTGTCATCTTCAACACGGGCGTTAAAAAAACGGCGCAAACACCTACCTTTATCGAACAGTCCATTGCAGCAGCAGCCTCGCGGTCTTTGTCATTTAGTCGTTTTGTGATTGTTTCAGTTAATTTAGCTCCTAACCTCACTTCAAATCGTGCACGGCTGCATTGGCTCTATGGCGCAAACCATTGCAGTTACAATTTTTGCTCACAGACCATAAACCGGATGGCAAGTTTTTTTCTCCCCCCC